CCCACACAAAAAAAAGGAAAACCCAAACTAAGACATCCCCTCCAGACACACACACGCACGCACACACAAAAGTTAAATCGAAGAATAAACAAACCAAAAGGAAAAGGAAAAACAACAACACAAGTTGGAAGTCAATGAGAAGTCCACCCAAAGTAACATCTAAAAACAAAACATAAACTTCACACTCAGAAAGAAAGAAAAAAAAAAAAAAAACCAAAAAAAAAAAAAAAGGAAAAAAAAAAAGAAGAAATATCTCCCAATAGAGAGAGAGAGAGAGGATGCTTCTTTTTTATTTTCATTATTACTACCATTATAAAAAAATATATATATATATTTTTTTGGATAGCCAAAAGGAAAATTAGCGCACGTGATGGAAGGTGTATGCGCAATTTCAAAACAAACAAACAAAAACAAACGCAAAACAACGACGAAGAGAAAAAAAAAAAGAAAAAAGGAAGAACAATAAACAACAAACAACAACGAAAATAAAAGAAGGAGTGTCATATATATATATATATATATATATATATATATATATATATGTATGTAATTATGTGTGTGGTTATATATATATATATATATGTATATATGTATATATAACTATGTATGTAACAAAAATAGTGGTGTGACAAAACGGAATTCTCAAGAGCACCTGAGAATTGTCGTCGTCTCATCGTCGTTAAACGTTATTGAAGTCCTCCTCTTCGCAGAAACGCAACTTCTCCATCAAACTGCATGCCACGATTGACTTTATGGGCCTTGTTGTTGTTGTTGTGGTTATTGTACGGGTATTGGATGCTGTATTGCCTCCACTTGCCACGTCCAGTTCCATTTCGCCGTTTGTCGCCATTTCGTGACTTTTCAAAAAATTGTCTATCCCACCATTCATTGCACTCTTTCAGCCACTGACTCATGTTTTCCCGCGTCTGCTCCGCTTTATTTGGCAGCGTAGGACACGGCTCTTCCAACTCCAAGCGAACGCTCTTGTTGTTGCTGATGTTCACGGCACAACTGCCACCGGGCCAGGCAGAATAGTCCTCATTTAGAAGTGCCTTGATGCGCTCGTACCATCGAAGTACCGGATTGTACATCATTAAAAGGGGAAGCTGAGGATTTTCATTTTCCAGTATACTCATCGCCTCACACCGCACAGGGGGCGGAAGCATCTTTGAGAATCGCAGCAGTGGGACCCTGGCCTTGTTGTATGACACATATGTTGGCTGTATCGTTCGTGACTCCATGACGTAAGGGTAAGGAGATACAGTTGGCTGATTCTGCGAAACAAGTAATGGCGTGGGGTACAGCTGCTGTTGCAGTTGCTCGTTTCTTGTTGGCTTGATCGCATCAAAGACGACATTTTCTTCATTGTTCATCTCATTAAGAGGCCACACCTCCCCAACGGGATGTATCGAAGCGTACATGGGAAGACCGTGCATCATGTTATCAAATTGGGGCACGCAGGTGGATTCCGTGATGGAGTTCTCCTCAATGGAATGGGAGGCGGTCAACAAGGCACGTCCACTCTCGCTCTTCACGCTTGAAAACTGCGGCGAAAGTTCACAGCGTGACACAATCGCCGGGGTTTCGCACCCAAATGTGTGCATGGGCGATTGCGCCGTTGAAGACGACGTGTTGCTGCACCTCGCCATGCATTGTCCCTGACGCGGCGTCAGTGCGATTGGACACGGCCCAGAAACGGAGGCGGAGTTGCATTCCTCTTGTGCAGCCTTAAGGCGCTGCGACTTGTTCTCGGTTTCAAGCCTATAGTATGGATTCCAGGAGTACTTGTTTTCCGCGGAGTACGTCACATTTGGCCCGGGAGTGAAATTGACACGGCACCTGCTGCGCGCCGTGTAGAAAGTGAGACTTGCATTTCCGTGCGGTGGCCGCGTCTCGGAGCGCTCGTGCGGCTGAAACGGGCATTGGTCGATGGACACAATTGGACTGACGAGAGGACATGGAAGCGATTCGTGCAGCGTTGCTCCGTGATGCATGCTTTCCAACGATGTAAATGAAAAGAAGAACGGCAACAAAAGAAAAAACACACACACACAAAAAAAACAAAACCAGCGAAAGCCTTACTTTCTTTTGTTTTTCTTTTTTTTTTTACTTCTTATATTTCCTCTGCTTTCGTTCTTTCTTTTGTGTTTGTCCTTTTTTTTTTCCCCACCTTTTGATGTCGCTCGGTTCTTTATGTGATGTGATATCGTCCTTTGTTAAAAAAACTATTCCCTTCGCTCCAACAACCGGGCAGCCACGCTGAAATGCAAATATAAATATATAAATATGTGTTTTAAAGGTCGCAGGAAGAGAGAGAGAGAGAGGAAGGAGCGGAGAGGAGAGGAGCAGACATGAGCGGGCAAAGGCACATTAAAAAACAACAACAAAAAAACAAAAAAGGGGGAAATTGGGGGACAGAGGAGAGCGAGAGGACAGTCGGACATGTCCGCCACGCAGGATCCGCCGGATGCACACACACACACACACACCAAACACCGCACACACATACATAACATTCTCTTTTCTTCCCTTGACACAAGCCGCTGCGGGAAATGAGCCACAGCGCAAGTTGAGTCCCTAAAAAACAAACAAAACACACACACACAAAAAAGACAAAACCACGCAGAAAAGGCGTCCCCCACCCCGCCAAGACACACACACACGCTCGCCTCCGCATCGTAACACACTGGAACCCGCCATGCCCCAAAGAAAAGGGAGAGGAAACACTGACATGCAAGGCAGGGAAAAAAAAAAAAAAAGAGGTACGCACGTGACAAATGAATGGGAGTTACACGGCAGCCAACAAAGACATACATGCACACATACAAAAACAAACAAAAAAACGAAGCTCCCCAAGACATAATAATGTAACAGAAAAGAAAGGAACGAAAGGGGGCGGTGGAACAAAAACTGGCATGTATTTTTATTTTTATTTTTATTCTTCTATTCATTTAACAATAAAGCGAATAAATAAATAAATGGGAAAAAAAAAATAAATAAATAAATATATATATATATATATATATGTATGTGTCTAAAAGAAATAATAATAACAAACAAACACCAAACGTCTTCGTTAAGAAATTAAGGCGCGAATCACCCATGTGCACCTATTTACATCGCGTCAGGTGGGAGGACACGAGCCTCCACACGTTCGCCCAGATAGAGCTCATCACACCGCAGCCCAATAGGACTTTATATATATATATAAAGGGGGAAGAAACTTTCATGGATACATGGAGTCGACACCGCCTGCAGGCCAATGATAAATGCTCGCAGCTTCGTAAGTTGGAAAGAAGCCTCGCCTGTCGCACCGCTGTACAAACTGAAATTCACGTTGTTGGATGTCTTGATGATGGTGACCTTTCCAACGGGGATTCATGTGCTGCCCCGGTTGTTGATGTTCCTGCTGCCAATAATTATACCGCTGCTGATGCCGTGGCATACGGTTCTGGCGATAATAATGCGGCTGTTGTTCCTGTTGCTGCCTTTGTTGCTTCTGCTTCCGATTTTGGTGTTTTTTTTTTTTTGGTGGTAGGGGCGCCGGTGGCGCCGGTGGTGGCGGTGGCTGGTCCTGAATATTGTGCCCCAGATTCTTCCGCGCCTTCTCCTTCCATTCCTGCAACTCGTGCTTCTGCCTCTCCAACGAAAGATCGGAGAAAGGGATGGTGGTGCGCTTGTAGCAGTTCCGCACACGATCCACGTCGGTGGACTTGATGACCGGAGCGTATGGGTCCCATGAAAATTTAGTGAAACACGGCGAGAACCGCACGGCAAGCATTTTCGGCCACTTGTAGTCGTCGTCGCCGACGTCAGGCTTCCTTCGCCTCTCCGGTGGGGCGTCAACCGCGCCGCCGCCGCCGCCCTCCTCGGCCATCTCGCACGCCAGAAGTTGCGGGGCTTCAACCGGCTGGTTGTCCGCGTCGCAAAGCGGCGCCACGACCCGCGACCCCGGCGAATTTTCCGACTCCATTTGATGACCGCACGCACACACACAATAAATAAATAAATGCCGACAGCGCCAGGCTAAGCCTCTCTCTCTCTTGCTATCTCGCGGTGACCACTTTGAGATGTAAACAACTTGTCACTCCTTCCGGTCTGCAGAAAAACAAAAACAAAAACAAAAAGAAAAAGAAAAAACAATCGGTGATGCACGCAAACACTGGGAGCAACGGCAGGTACAACAACAACAACAACAAAAAGAACTACAAAAATACACCACCTCCTTATTTTTCTTCTGCGCTCTCGTTCTCATATGGTTGGCTCTGGACGATGGTGCGTCCAATTAGAGGCCCACCGCACACTGCACTAAACAAGGCAACAAAAAGGAAGGGAAAAATAAGAAAACAACTAAAAAACTTCAAATTCAGTCATTCACGCCTGACAAATGGCGGAGCGCATGTCACCACCAAACGTACAGCCTCAGGGAAGATCGCGTCCGCCTTATTTTGCATCTTGGCACCGGCCTTATGTGCATCTTCCAGCCATTCCTGCCGCACCACCTTGTCATCAGGACACAGCATAAGACCCATGGTTCGGCGGAGCACCGATTCCTCCAGTAGCACCGCCCTCACCCAATCCCCCGCCTGCTCCCGCAGCGTTCGCTCCCCCCATCGTGGAACTTCTCGTGGGGTTGACGGCGCATCGTCGGAGGAAATGGAAAAACACTTCATGGATGGTAGCCGAGTTCCCTGCACACTCACATGAGGTGTGTTTTCTGAAGGTTCGACGGTGACATCACCGCCGTGTTGAATTCCTCTATTGCGCATCACAGTTGTATCGGAGGGAGCGGCACAATCCACATGAATGCGCACATCGTACAGCTCTCCGCTAGGCTCATCCTCAGTACGGCCACCAAAGAGAAAAAAACGAAAGCCTGGCATCACAGGATCCACACACATAGCTGCCATTGTACGGCCCTCTGGCAAAATGGAGACAATATTCTTTATCAACCTCCAGTTCTGAGAACCCTCAGCATTATTCTCCTGATTTACATGCCATAATTCTGTCTTCATCGCCTCCCCATAACACTCACGCTTCTGAGAGGATTTATTACCAGTCTTCCTGAAATAACCCAAAGGAAAAGATGACGGCAAACAGCCAACATCTACAAATGCCTCTCGCCATATATGACGCATGTAATTGTAAACATGCACGTCTTTATGCGTTTCTATCATTCCGCGACTGTCGTACGTAAATCCACCAAGAACGAAAATGTCCAAGCCACGTGTCACCATCACAGCACCCGTACGCCAGAGTGCGGAGCTGTTAAAATGCCTACATCTGTGCGGGATTGTTATCGGCATTCTACATCGCCTACTATCCCTTCTCATTAAGAGAAGACTCTCAACATACTCCATAATACGTGCCCCCGGTTTTTTGTCATATGGACGCAGGAAAAATTCCCGCATGAATCGTAAGGGCGTTTCTTCCCGCACCATGATCCACTGTCGTGTATATGCATTGAGTACCCACATATCGTTATAGAAGTAAATGCCATCGCGTCCACCAAACACAAAGAAAAAGAAATCTCTACAGACCGTAGAACACGCCCTTCTTCTACCGGGAAAGACAGTGGCTCCTAATGACGGCAGGATCTGCAACAAACGCTTCTCCCCTTCGCCGTACTGTAGTTTTCCAGAAGAAGGCGGTGGAGTCGTCAGGTATAAAAAGTACGTGGTGTTATAAGCCTCTGTGTCATTCATCCCACCAAATACAACCACCACCTCAACACGACGTTGCTCTCTTTTACGTGCTGCTGCTGCCGCTGCCGCTTTTTTCGACGACGACGATGGCGGCAGTCGCTTCGTGGTGCCGTCCTCGAAGACCGGAATAAACAGCGTTTGCGCCACCGATCCCCACATGGACGGTAACGGGGTGGTGAGATTTATTTTTGTCCACAGTCGTCGCTCAATGTCCAGCTGGAAGGCGGGAGCGGTGCCGCCATCCCCGCTCTTAACACCCCCGTGCACAAATAAAAAACGTCCACCTCCAAATAAAGTGCCACTCTGACCAAATGCCTTCGGTGGCATCCCGTCATCCACCGCTTGATCCGCATCAGTTTCACCCCCACCGCTCGCTGCCGAGCGGCGGGCCGGACCAGGCACACCACGACAAATGAGCTGCACCCACCGCTGCTCGTCGATCAAATATTCCCACGTGTCATTCAGAAAACCCTCCGGCCCAACCTCCAGCCCGCCATGCAGAATAAGGCTTCGACGGGGAGCGCATGGGAGCAAGAGATGACCGCTGCGTGGCGGTGGTACCTGATGCAGTGGCTGACGCAACTCCTCGGACGTATGTAAACTAAACGATGCGGTCACATTCGAGCTTCGACGCGCTGCTGCTGCTGCTGTTGCCCCTGATGATGATGGCTGCACCGAGGCCATCCTTTTCCCCTTTCCAGGGGACTCTGACAATCCCGGTTCTCGCGTCGATACCAAATTATTCGTGGCATCGTCATGAAGCCGGAAAAAAGTGACATGATACTTCGCCTCCAACTCCTCCGCCATGAAACCCCCCGTTCCAGAAGGGGGCTCTTCGTAATATAAACCCCTATTCCGCACGGGAATTGGCATTTTTTTTCCTTTTTCGTTTCTCCTATTCCCCCCTCCCTAACCCCCTCAACTTCCACCCCTATATATGTAATGTATGTATATACGCCTGCACTCCCTCTGTCTTTTCTCCGAACTTCTCGCCCTCTTCTGCAATTAAATATATATATATATATATATATGTATATAGGAGTGCCAACAACAGAAATCACCGGTATGACGACAAATTTGCCCTTGACACTTGGCCCTAACTTTTATTTGTTCCCTTTTCTCTCTTCTTCTTGTTTTTTGCTGTTGTCCTCTCCCTATTCTCTTTGCATTATGAAGACCCCGCATCATAACACGCATGCATGCATACGTATCCACGTATTTTTGTGAAGAAAAGAAGATGCAAAAACAACAACAACAACAGAAAAAAAAAAAAAAAAAAAAGAAAGAAA